TCATGAAATAAGGATATAATAATGCCAATAATATGGGAAAATACAAATGGGAGAATTAACCTTTCTGCCATTAGCTCACTCATTATCTGAATCAAACCGATATGACATTATATTATTTACCTCCATTAACAATATTTAGAGTTTTAGAAATAGATTTATTCAACCACATATGTGTTATCACCTTCTTTAGAATCAAACCAGATTTTGGATTGGTTCATGTAATTTTCCTATGAACTGATTTCATTCCACATAGTTGTAAACAATCCATTTTTCATTACTTGTGAACATAGTTTTTAAAAATTGGTCATTTCTACTCCATTTGAGCAGAGAATTGCAGATAGAAATGTGGTCCATTAAAATTTACCTATAAATTGTGAAGCAATTCATATATCCAAGTGTTTTAAAATGCCATTACTCATCTCTGAGGGGACTTCATGATTCCATCCTCCCAGAACTTCGCATCTTTCTGAGTGAGGAATTGGTCTAAGTAATTTTTACAGGCTTCCAGAGAATTTAAATTCTACCCATTGAAAGTATAGTATATAGATTGAAATAAGTGGTAATCCAAACATACCAGATCAAGTGAGTTCAGCTCACATAGTTGAACATCCCAGCCAATTTCTATAAGGTCTGCAAAGAGACATGAGGTCTGGAATTGACCTGATGGGAAACAACACCATTCTGATTGAATTTTTGGGATGAGGCGTTATTATTATTTACACTGTTTACATTCTTAAACCTAACCTGTCTGCTGATCAGTGCTACCTGTCATGCATGGCTGCTGCTGTTGCTGAAAACTTGCCATCATTTAACTTTCTTTCTTAAGGCTTCAAATTCACCACAGAAAATTATCCTCGGGCACAATAGCTTAGTGGATTAAAGCATTGGGTTGTGAATTTGGTGACATAGTGTTCGTGAGTTCAATCCTTGGACTGGGCAGTGTGTACTTGGACCCAGTAGCAACAGACAAGCAATAACTGAGCAGTACTAAAAGAAAGAACTAAATGAGATATCCCTGGATATGAGTAATGGAACAAGAACAGTCTATCCATATAGATAAAGAGTTCAGTTCAGAATTTCTTGTAGGTTACCCAGATCGATGAAGGCTGGAGTGCACAATGGCCAAAGTTTTATGATAACAATGACAAAGATAAATAGTCCAAATGTAAATAGTGTAAATAACACTATTCAGATTAGCCAAATTAGGAGGCTTTGCACTAATTGTTGACTTTAATTTGTCCAAATTGGAACAGTAATTGTCTCAATGTCTGATTTTGTGGAAGGATCTCATAATACACAATGTCTTTCCAATCCTACTAGATTTGGAACATCACTTTCTTCAGATACAGACTCACTTTTAGAGTAGTTGGTGGTGGCTCATTTTTTTTTTTTTTTCATTTCTGCTTTTTTGGCCTCCAGAAGCTTTTTCACTCCACAATGTTGTAAAACATCCATTGTTCATCATCTGTAGTTGTATTTTGAAAAAGTGGGTTGTTTTTATTGCATTTGAGCAGAGAATTGCCCATGGAAATAAGGAGCATTAAATTTTCTACCTTTAAATTGTGAAGCCCCCAAACATCATAGCAATTCATGTATCCAAGTATTTTCAAATGTTCTACAAGTCTTCTATAAGATATGTGAAAATCTCTGCAATATCCTGTATCATTTGATTGGGATTGTTTTTAATCAGCGTTTTCATTTTTGTCATGGAACATGGTGGGACATTCTTGGTCTTGCACATTTCCACTTTTGAACCAAATGAAACATATACAAACAGTGCTCTCAGCTATGACACCATCACCATAAATAGCACATATCATTTTTGCTGTTTACACAGCACCTTTTCTAGAAAAAAAATAAGCTTCGAATAATGAAAAATGACACTCTGGTTTTCTTCATTTTCACTTTTAACCTAAAAACATTTAAAATTCACAATCCACAGACAAAACTTGTAGAAAGATTTGTTGAAAACTCACCTTTCAGAATATGTGTCATAAATTTCAGTCACGTATGAAACAAAATCATGTGTTCAAACTACACCTACTGAAAAATGCTATGAACATTTGTTCCAACCCAATATATATTTAATATTTATTTAAATAATATGCTCTGTCATGTGGGACTTTGAGGACCCTGTATTGCTGTGCACTATTTTGCTTTTAGAAGTGTGCTTCTTTGCTGGGGTCCGACTGTTTTCAAAGATATCAAGCACTTTCCCAATATGCCTATGAATGTTTTCTGTTGTTTAGATATTTTTTTCCTAAATAATTATTACAGCATTTTCGTCTTGGCTGAATAGGCATTTTCCCCTTCAGTGAGCTTGGTTGTTGGATGTATGGTATATATATATATATATATATATATATATATATATATATATATATATATATATATATATCAACTACTCTTGTCACATCTTAAACTTGCCTAAAGGGGTATAAAAAGGCCCAGTCTCACAAATAATGCCTGATGTTTGGGTGCGAATACATGAAACTTTTAGTTATGGTCAACCACTGTTCAGAAGGAATTTATTTAGAAATATTAAAGCTATACCAGTTAATGTGGCATTGACTGTTCTTCCTCCAGTGTACATCTGTAGCAAACTCATTTAGGAGTTGTCTATTTTATTTTATTTTATATATATATATATATATATATATATATATATGAGTTTTTTCCTAGAAATGCACCCTAGAAATTTCAACTGTCTCTATCAGATTCTAACTGTAAGTGTCCTTTTTAATTCCACTTTCTTTAAACTTACATGTTCAGCCATATTTGTAAACTTTATTCAGTCAAGTTTTGATCTATATAGTCAACTGGTCTTTGTTTTCTTTTAAATATAGAAATAAGATAGTATAAAAACAAGAAGAAATTGTTATTCTTACAAAAAATATTGTGTCATAATTTGTATTATTTATGGGAAAAATATCTTTTCATAATTCTTTTTGTCCAAAATTTCCAAATCTCATTGTTAAGTCTTTGCCAGTATCATGATGGCCATTAGCAATCAGTTTCTAAAAGCGCCTTCAGCCATTCCTCCTTTTATCAAAAATAAAATTATCTCTGTGCCTCGGGGGTCTTCCTCTCAAGACCAACACCAAACATCTGTTTTGGTTTCTGTTTTTTTGCTGATAATTTTCCTTTAAAACTGAAGCTAACAATTAAGCTTCTATAAAGAAGAAATTCAAATTCAAAACTTGGAACGGCATTCATTTAAAAACAATTTCAAAATAATGAAATTCAACACACACACACACACACACACACACACACACACAGACAATTTACCCATCACACCCACTGTTAACCAGGAAAATTTATTTAGAAATATTAAGGCTATAGCAGTTAATATGGCATTGACATTTCTTTCTTCAGTGTACCTCTGTATCAGACACCCTTAAAAGTTGACTATTTAAAAAAAAAAAAAAAAAAAAACATGGGAAAACCCATTTAAAACCATAATCCCCTGAAGTTTGGACTTTTTACCAAGAAACATCGATGTCTGGATAAAACTGATATTTAAAAGTTAAGTAATCTTTTCATATAATATTATATATAAAGAGTAATCAAATGTTTTGGTAATTTGAATAGTATGTGAACTGAAAGCAAAAAGGAATATTATTGCTTTTCTTTTGAAGCCATACTCTTTATGAGATTGCTAAGATAAGTACTTTGAAGAAGATGGTGGAAACTCGTTCTAAGAGAGTTGCACACGAGACAATTGCATCACACGACATTTGCATCCTGAGACAAATGTATCCCTGGATAATTGCATACCCCTGATAATTTTTGAAGCTTTTAAAGGCAATTACCACAAATTTTCAAAAAAATCATAATTTAAAAAAAAAAAATGAATAAATGGAATAAAATAAAAAAAAATTAAAAGTTTCTTTTTGTTTAAAATGCGATGACAGATTAACAGTGTTGCAAGATCGCTCTACATATCACCATTATGTTTTTGTTTCATTGGCATTTTCTTAAAATAGTGGTAGCTGTAATTTTCCTCGTCCACAAATATTTTCCATCAGTGTTTGATTTTCAGAACTTAGCCATGGGTTCCAAATAAAATCCAGAATCTATTAGATTTCTGAGGTATGCACTGCTGGAGTGAACTCAATCTACTGGCTTAATTTTCTCTTGCCTTAAAAAAAGAAATTTTTCTCTCTGTTTTTTTATTTATGGTAACTATCTTTCTGTTTGTTTAGAGTAATTAAATGCATTGGTGTGAAAATTTATATATTAAACAACTCTTTTTTAAAAAATGATACCTTCAAAAATTTATCAGAAGTACGCTTTTGTCTAGGCACGCAAATATCTGGTATGCAACTGTCTGGGATGCAACCCTGGCGTCTCGTCTACAGTCACTTTCTCACAAATGCACCGTCGCCTCCCTCTGACTGTTCTACAAATACTTTCATGGAAATTGCTCCGAGGAGCTGCATTCGCTGGTTCAAAGACGTCATGAGTTCCAGCGCCCTACGAGGCTGGCATCCCGCTCTCACCCCTTCACTGTTGAAACTCCTAAATGTAGCCATCTCTTCTACTCTAATAGCTTCATGTCTCGCACCTCTCGCCTGTGGAACTCCCTTCCCTATTCCTGTTTCCCTGTGAGCTATAATCTCTAGCTATTCAAGTGTAATGTCAGTCAACATCTCCAGTTGCCTTGATCTATCCACTACCCTCATCCTTTCTTCTATCACTCCTATCTGATCTTGCTCTAAACTTTCTGTAACCCCTTGCATCCTAGTGGCTTCCTGCCTTGCTTGGGGTGAAATGCTTAAAAAAACAAAAAAAAGTATACAACTGTCCGTTCACTGGTGGAAACTAGGTATTTTCTGGATGTTCAAATTCCAATAAATTTTGTCTATCACTTTGCATATGGGTATATATATATATAGATGAATTCTACAATGTATGTATATATTTACATATCATCTCTTTCTAGATATATTTAATTCTTGCTTTTATACATTTCATGAATATTACATCAAATGCGTATGTATCTATCTCAGTCTGTTCATATCTATCTTTCTTTCTATCTATCTCAGTCTGTTCATATCTATCTTTCTTTCTATCTATCTCAGTCTGTTCATATCTATCTTTCTTTCTATCTCTCTCAGTCTGTTCATATCTATCTTTCTTTCTATCTATCTCAGTCTGTTCATATCTATCTTTCTTTCTATCTATCTCAGTCTGTTCATATCTATCTTTCTTTCTATCTCTCTATAGATTTTAATCTGTTACTGTCTTAATCTGTTCATATCTATCTGTGAATCTACATCAGTTCAGTCATATTTATCTATCTATTTATCGATCTGTTTGCCTTTTATTGCAATTCGTTTAGAACTGAGTCTGCTCATTAATCCATTAATCTTTGTATCTCTGTTCATATCTATCTAAATCTGTTCAGATCTATCTGTTAGTTTAATTTGTTTATATCTGTTACTTAAATCAATTCATATCTATCAGTCTGTTTGTTCAATATGTTTATATCTATTTATTATTTCAATCAGTTCATATCTATGTATCTCAGTCTATTCATATCTATCTATCAATCACTTCAATCAGTTCATATCTATCAATGTTTGTTCAATCTGTTTATATCTATTTGTTACTTAAATCAGTTCATATCTATCTATCACTTCAATCAGTTCATATCTATCTATCTATCACTTCAATCAGTTCATATCTATCTATCACTTCAATCATTTCATATCTATCTATCACTTCAATCAGTTCATATCTATCTATTTATCTATGTATCTCTGTTTATTCATATCTATCTATCTCCATCTATCTCAGTTTATCTATCTATCTATCTATCTATCTCAGTTTATTCATATCTATCTATCTATCTATCTATCTATCTCAGTCTATTCATATCTATCTATCTATCTCAGTCTATCTATCTATCTATCTATCTATCTATCTATCTATCTATCTATTCTATATCTATCTACCTCAGTCTATTCATATCTATCTATCTCATCTATTCTATCTATCTATCTATCTATCTATCTATCCATCTCAGTCTAATATCTATCTCTATCTATCTCAGTCTATTCATATCTATCTATCTATCTCAGTCTATTCATATCTATCTATCTATCTATCTATCTATCTATTCATATCTATCTATCTATCTATCTATCTCTGTCTCAGTCTCTTCATCTATCTATCTATCTATCTATCTCTGTTCTATCTATCTATCTATCTATCTATCTATCTATCTATTCATATCTATCTATCTATCTATCTATCTATCTATCTATCTATCTATCTGTTCATCTATCTATCTATCTCTATCTATCTATCTCTATTCTGTTCATATCTAACTATCTATCTCAGTTTGTTCATATCTATCTAAATATAAAACATAATCCTTTTCTATCCAATCAATAATTGTAACATTTTACTCTTAAGTATAAATGTATTAAATTAAATTCCATAAATTAGTCATCCTAAGTGTGTATAAATGTTTATATATTGGGTTAACCAGAGTATATATAAATCTATTCCTATCAGTACAAAGCAATATGGCCTTGTATCAGTCTCAATATCTGTTTCTTTCATTTTCCTAATTTTTCTAAATTTTCAAATTCCACTCTTTTTGACTCCTTATCCAATATAATCACTTGCTTGAATAAAACATGTATTGTGATGACAATTGTTTATACTTTATTTTTTACATCGATTCCAACAAAAGCAGAAAAGTATTATTTTATTTACCCAATTCCTTGTGACTTCTCTGGCTAATGGTTTCCGCTGACATATAGCGAAAAGATTATATGGATCCAACTGCTCAATCTGCTGCTAGGAAAGTTGGTTCACGGATTTGCACAAGACAATTTTTCTCACCGGAATATATCTCACACATTTATAAGTTTAGGCATTGAATATTGCTGCCACATCTGGTCTGGTGCTCTTCATCTAGAAATTCTTGATAAAATACAAAGAAGAATCTGCAAGGTTATTGGTTCTAATCTGGCATCTTGGTTTCAGTTGCTTCCATGTACATTTTCTATAAATATTTTCATGGAAATTGTTCTGGTAAACTTTTCTCTTTGATACCTTGACTTTATGAATTTAAGCACAGTACTAGATTGGCAGCTAGGTCTCATCATTTTACAGTTGAAATAGCTAGATTTAACTGTAAGTTCTATGCTAACAGCTTCTTCTATCACACTTCTTATTTGTGGGACTCTATTCTGGCTTCTAACTTCCAATTCAACTTTGATCTTCAATAATTTAATATCAATTGTTATCTTCTGCCTTCATAATTCCTATTCTTTTATTGTTCTCTCTCTTTGATAATGTCTTTGATATTCTTTCACACTCAGTAAACCCTTGTGTCTGAGTGGATTTATTGCATTGCTCGAGGTGAAATGACTAAACAAAAGCTGAAGCTCATCTTTGAATATTTGCTGTTGATACCTTGTTTCGGACGATGAATTCTTCAACCCTCATGTGGTAATTTTTTTCCTTTGTCTTCAATGGGTTGTCTTTAGAGAAAAAACTTTCTTGCTCTTTTCCAATGAATCCACTTGACAAGTCCCAAAGAATTGATCAGCTGAAATTTGTTAACAACAGCAAATATACAAAGAACAGGTTCAATTGTCTGAACAGCATTAAGTATGTTAATGACACTTCTTAGAAGTTATAGGCAATACATTTACAGTCAATAGAAACCTGAATTAAATATACAATAGAGACAAACAGAGATGTTATTGCACAGATTTGCTTGGTTTTTTTCCAACCATTTAACATTCTTGGGTCACTGCCAAGAGGAAGTTTTCTTATAACTGAACTAGATGCTGAAATATAGGATCCAATCCTCGGAAGTTATTAGCATTATATAGCAAGCAAGTCACGCTCGAGAGAGAGAGAGAGATAAATGCAGAAAGGCAGACTGGCAGACAGACAGAAAGAGAGAGAGAAAGAGAAAGACAGAGATAAAGAGAGAGACAGAGAAAAATACACAGAGAGAGAAAAAGAGATGTGAAAGAATGAGAGAGAAAAACACAGAGACACAGTGAGAAAGAGAGAGGGAGAGAAAGACTGAGAAAAATACAGAGAGAAAAATACAGAGAGGAGAGAAAAAGAGAGAGTGGACAGAGAAAGAGAGAGGAAAACACAGAGAAAGATAGTGAGAAAGAGAGAAAGACAGAGTGAGAAAGATAGAGAGAGAAAGACAATGAGTGAGAGAAAGAGAGAGAGAGAAATACAGAGAGAGAAAAAGATGGAGAAAATGACAAAGAGAGAAAGATAGTGAGAAAGAGAAAGACAGAGGAGAGAAAAAGAGAGAGAAAAAGAGAAAAACATGGCTAGAAAAACATAAAGAAAAACACAGAGAGATAGTGAAAGAGAGAGAGAGAAAAAGACACAGAGAGAGAAAGCCAGAGAGAGAAAGACAGAGAGAGGGAGAAAGACTGAGAGAAAGATAAAAAGAAAAAAGACAGAGAGAGAGAGAAAAAGAGAAGCAAGAAAGAGAGAGAGAAAAACAGAGAGATAGAAAAATACAGAGAGAGATAGTGAGAAAGAGAGAAAGACAGAGAGAGAAAAACAGAGAAAAACACTGAGAGATAGTAAGAAAGAGAGGGAGAAAGACAGAGAGAAAGACAGACAGAGAGAAAGAAAAATGAGAGAGAAGAGAGAAAGAGAGAGAGGGAGAAAGAGAGAGAGGGAGAAAGAGAGAGAGAAGGAAAGATACAGAAAGAGAAAGAGAATATATATTCGAGGATTAAAGTATCATTTGGAAAAACCTATGAAGAAAAGAAAGAAAAATATGAATCAATAGAGAATTGTGCATGTGTGTGTATGTAAGTATGTGCATGCGTCCGTCTGTTTGTCTATATGTGTGTGTGTGTGTGTGCATGAGTGTGTATATGTGTGCATGAGTGAATGTGTATTTGTCTGTGCATGTTTGTGTGTGCACGTGCATGATTGTGTGTGCGTGTGTGTGTGTGTTGAAGAAAGAGGTTTTTTTTCTTACAAAATACACCAGATGATGGATGGCAAACCGATCGGTCAAAATGTCATCTTAATAGAAGCAAATATACAAAGTTCACTTACTTTTTATTTTTTTTCTTCCTGAAAGAAGTCTGTCTTTCTTCCTACAAAATACACCTGGTGATGGCTGGCACCTCAAGCAAGGCAATAAAGCCACTGAGACACAAATAGTTACTGAGGGTGAAAGCATATGAGATTAAGAAAACATCATTGATCAAAATGTCACAGCAAATATTTAATTTTTTTTTTTTTTTCTCAAAAAGAAGTTTTTTTTCTAAGAAAAGGCACCTGATGAACGACCAAGGAACAGATTGGTCAAAACCTATAAACAATAGCAAATTAATAAATTTAAAAGAGTCAGATCAAATCACAACTTCTTTTTTTAGTAAGGTTTGTCATTTCACCATCACTCCTAGTCATTTACACAAGCACGTTAAGTAGGTTGATCACGGCTCTCCACAACTTCCTATCTTCCATAGCTCAAGCCAATGTTTCTCCTCTTACTATCCCTTCGTCACTGTTCTGCCATTCATTGACACAAGTATCTTAAGTAAGTTGATCACGGCTCTCCACAACTTCCTATCCTTAATAAATCTAGGCAATATTTGTCCCCTTACTGTCCCTCTCAGACCCTGCTCTGCAATCCGTTTACACAAGGTTGTTAAGTAGATTGATCACGACTCTCCACAATTGTCTATCCTATATAACTCTAGGCAATGTTTCTCCTCTTACTATCCCTCTGTCACAGTTCAGCCATCCACAGACACAAGCATGTTAAGTTGATCATGGCTCTCTACAACTTCCTATCTTTTATGGCTCCAGGCAAAGACTTGTCCTTTTACTATCCTGCCAAGTCCCTGCTCTGCTATCTACTAACACAAACACATTAAGTATCTTGATCACCGCTCTCCACAACTTCCTATCTTTCATAGCTCAAGCCAATTTTTCTCCTCTTACTATCCCTCCATCACTGTTCTGCCATCCATTGACACAAGTATCTTAAGTAGGTTGATCACGGCTCTCCACAACTTTCTAACATTTGTAGCTCAAGGCAATGTTTGTCCCATTACTATCCCTCCCAGTCCCTGTTCTGCTATACATTTACACAAGCTTGTTAATAGTTTGATTACAGCTCTCCACAATTTCCTATCCTTTATAGCTCTAGGCAATGATTGTTCTCTTACTACCAGTCCTTGTTCTGCCATCCATTTACACATTTCCCCTCTAGCCTCCAACATGTATTGTGAGTATCAAATATTCCAAGCTCTCTTTTCTCATTATGTACCCTAGAAATTTCAAATTTCTTTTTGACTCTAAGTATAAGAGCTCTTTTTGCTTTCATTCCTAAGTATTTCAGAAGCAAAATAAATTCTACTGAAAAGGATGGGAAAATTCGCATAGCTAAAGCCTGGGATGTCTTTAATAAAATGGATGTAGAGTAGAACCTCGGTTCATGAACTTAATTCATTCCTGAAGCCCATTCGTTACCAGAAATGTTTGTAAACTGAAACTATTTTTCCAATAGGAATCGATGTAAAATGGATTAATCCATTCCTTGTCTCAAGATGAGTGCTTATTTAAACTTTAACAACAGTATTTTGTGTGCACTAGTTTATACACAAAACTAATGAAAATCATTAAATCTAAGAAAAAAAAAACAATACTAAAAAGATAAAACAGACAAATACTTCAATTTTACTGTACCTGTATTCATGATGGTGTAAGTGGAAGGGGAAGGAAAGATACGATCATCTCTTTATTTATAAGAATAATATAGATTGTTGATTTAGCCATATGAAACTGAGTAGGAAGAGACAATATTATCATCATAGAGACAATATCATCCACAATTGTTTTTCTCTCAACTTTTCTTTTTGCTTTACTAGTATCACTGCTAGATTTCTTTAGAGCCATGACTGAGGACTAATGAAGAGAAAACAAAAGGCACAGTACAATAAAATTAGAAAAGAAAAGCACAGTACAACACATGAATGTATACAACACAGTGGTCAGCTCAGAAATGATTCTGTTTGTGTTAACTCGGTTCAGCAATGTTGTTTGAGAACCAAAATTTTGTTCAACAACCGATGCATTTTCATCTCAAATATTCTGTTTGGAAACTGATTTGTTCAACATGCGAGATGTTTGAGAACCAAGGTTGCTCTGTAATCAAGAAATCTGTTCTACCAGACAACCTCAAACAGAGATTCTTTAGAGCCACTGTAGATGACATGTTAATGTCTAGTGCCACTGCTTGGACATTAACTAAAACCCTAGAGTCAAAACTTGATGGAACTTATACTCAAGTGCTGAGAGCTATACTTAACATCTCTTGGAGACAACATCCAACTAAATCATAGCTCTATGGACCTATCCTTGATATTTCTACAATCTTATGCAGATGCAGAATGTGCTTTGTAGGACACTGCTGGTGGGCAAAACGAGAACTTGCAAGTGATCTACTGCTCTGGACACTTAGCCATGAAGCAAGATGGGCTGCTCACCCAGCAATCACTTACATTAACCAGCTATGTTATGACACAGAATGCAACCTAATGACTCTCTGACTTTGATGAAGGTCTGTGATGGTTGGCGTGATAGATTCATAAATGTCTGCATAGCTTGACTTAATAATGTTTTCATTAGCCTTGAAAGTTCCACATTGCTCACATGTTTAGTTCATAGTATTCTCAGCATCCTTCTGTAGAACCACATCCCTGTTACCTCAAGTTTCTCCTTCCAGTATTCCCTGCCATATAAGAGGACTGATATTATATGGCAGTTCAGAACTATTTTCTTTGTTTCTGTAACCCCAAGTCTCTTCTTCATCTGTGAGGAAATTGTCAAGCATTTACTGCCATATAGGAGGACTGATATTACATAACAGTTTAGTACTTTTTTCTTTGTTTCTGTTGACTCAGGTCTCATCTTCAACTGTGAGGAAATTGTCCAGCATTCACTGCCATATAGGAGGACTGATATTACATAACAGTTTAGTACTTTTTTCTTTGTTTCTGTTGACTCAGGTCTCATCTTCAACTGTGAGGAAATTGTCCAGCATTCACTGCCATATAGGAGGACTGATATTACATATCAGTTTAGTACTTTTTTCTTTGTTTCTGTTGACTCAGGTCTCATCTTCAACTGTGAGGAAATTTGTCCAGCATTCACTGCCATGTAGGAGGACTGATATTACATAACAGTTCAGTACTCTTTTTTTTTTGTTTCTGTTGCCTCAGGTCTCTTCTTCAACTGTGAGGAGATTGTCCAGCATTAACTACCTTATAGGAGGACTGATATTATATGGCAGTTTTTTCTTTATTTCTAATGAAATTTTCCCATTTCTTAATACTTTGCTTAACTTTTGGAAGGCATCTTTTGCTATTCCAATGCACCTTCAGATTCTGGTGTCAATTTTTTGTCCTCTGTTAAAACGCTTCCCAGATAGTTCAATTTTCTTTTTGTTTTATTCTAACATCTCCAATTCGTAGCTCGCATCTCTTGCTGACAACCATACATTCTGTCTTCTTAAAATTGACATTTTGTATTTTCTTCTCACTTTCCTTTACTACTTTATCTAGAAGCTGATGCCATTTCCTTTCTGCGTCTGCTATCATCTGCATATCTTATGATGCTAACATGAAGCTTTCACTGATCGGGTTATACATGGATATGTAAAATTTGCCACAGATAGTAAGGTTCTACGGTATTGTATTTTTAGAACCAGGCTCAAGACGCACAAATTAAACAAACAGAAAACAAACATTTGTCATCTTGAACATCTAGAAATCATCATTTCTAGCCCAATACTAGCTGAAAACCCACCCAACTTAGGGTAAGATTTTAAGCTAGTTTGTTTGGAATGCTGGAAATTTAAAATTTAATTTCTTTTTTCTCTCAGATATTTGGAAATTTCAAATTTCTTCTTTCAGAAACCTAATATTTAACATTTAAAGTTCAAGAATTTGAACTATGTATGGGTGTCATGGTGGAGTAATGGATAACAGCTCGGATTGAGAAATCAGAGAGCCAAGTTTGAATTCCAGCCAGATCCATTACATTCACTTATGTGCTAATACCCTTGGGAAAGGTATGAATCCTCTCCTTCTGCCCCCAGCTATGGGTAAATAGCAGGACAGACTGGGTCTCTAGGCTTAGATTGCAACTGGTCTCCTGCAGAAAGAAATGGCAACTTACTGCAGGAAAAAATCTGCCTTATCAGTCATGTAGCAAACGATACATGATCACCTAAGCATGGCATATAACTGATGTAAAAGGATAAAAAAATATATAAATTTCATTTTTAGGTTTTATTACAATTTTAATCATCACTTTTTAAAACAATAAACATTGCCAAGGATGGAAGGTAGTTAAAATAATAGTGGTGTCAAGAGAAAAACCACCCTTTTGATACTCAAGTTTTTGGCAGGAATGAACATCCAAGTTTGCCCACATTTCAAGATGCTGCATATATATATACAACCTATATTAAATATCTCTTATCACAATAAGAGATATTTAATATAGGTTGTTTCATTTGCATATTAAAAACTTCTGGAATGTTCAGTCTTTCTTTGTATTGAGTGTTGTGTTGTATTCTGTTATTATCTATTAATATTTGTCTCATATTAATAGTTGTATTTTTGTTGCTTGTGATATATTGATTGATACATTCATGAATTGCTGTGTCAAAAAGTGACATACATATGTTTAATTTTTTTTTGTTCTCAAAAGGTAGCTTCTTCCAATGAAC